CGACGGCCTTATGCACTAATCTTGCTTTTGATCATTTGGGACTGTGATGCAGGGCCTAGCTACGTAATTTCCTGCATCTTTATGGCTGGGCTGTAAAGGAAATACCCTATTCCCTGTCTTATATGACTGAGGGGCAACAGACAGAGATGGAGCAGAGAGGCAAAAGCTACTCTAACAAAGAGAGCGAAATATCGTGCCAAATGTCGTCTGAAAGACAAGAAAACTCACTCCATTTTGTGTCGCACCTTGCTAGTCAAAGTGTTCCTGTATCAGATTGATGGTAACACTGTCTACCTGGTTGCATTTTCATAGAGAAATATTGCTCTTTTCCTTCACGTCACTCTTAGACGTGGTATATTATCAGTTAAAATACATTACTCTTGCCGTCTCGTGACATATCCATGTACAGGGCTTAATTATAAAATAATGCAAATGTGTTAAATGTAAATATGTTAGTTAATACCTTGAAAATTGAAAGCAGAAGGATCCCTTTGACATTGCAATGTGTGTGTGTGTGTGTGGCATTGCAAGTCACAACAGACTGAATTTTGTGGTCTCACAAGGAGCTTAGCAGAGGAATTTATATTTTCCTTAGTACGAGTAGTTTATGTATGGAACACGGATACGTCCGGTGTTTAGGAGAGGAATGAAATGCACGCCATAACTTAATCAAATTCAGATGAAAGGTATATATTTCAGTGTATGTGAAATCATGCCAAAGACAGCTAAGAGATGTTTTGACACTGTGGCACAGTTCAGATATTTGGGAAATACAGTGATAAATCAAAACTTGATTCAGGAGGAGGTTGAAATCGGTTAATGCTTGCTACCATTCAGTCCAGAACCTTTTGTCTTCTGATCTGCTGTCTAAGAACCTGAAAATTAGACTATATAAAATTATAATTTTGCCTGTGGTTTTGTTTGGGTGTGAAACTTGATCATAGGAGCATAGACTGTAGGTGTTTGAGGACAGGGTGCTGAGGAGAATATTTGGACCGAAGAGAGATGAAATGCCAGGAGGTTGGAGAAAACTGCATAGTGAAGAGCTTCATAACTTGTACTCTTCTCCAAGTATAAGTCAAAGAGAACGAGATGGGCAGGGCATGTAGCACAAATGGGGAGAATAGAAATGCATATACGATATTGGCGAAAAAGCCAGAAGGAAAGGGACCACTAGGAAGACAGAAACGTAGTTGGGTGGGTAATATTAAAACGGATCTTAGATAGTATGAGGTGGTAAGGACTGGATTGATCTGGGTCAGGATAAAGGCCAGTGAAGGGTTGTTTTGAACACCGCAGTGAACCTCGGATTTTCAAAAATTACCTGGAAGTTTTTGAGTAGCTACACAATTGGCGGCTTCTCAAGAAGGGCTCAGCTCCATGAAGTTAGTTGTATTTTTCAGTGTTTAAATGAAATATGTGATGGAAGTCAGGAGCTGGGATAGCTCAGTCGGTACAGAGACTGCCTATATATTGGACGACCAAGGGGTTGGAGTTCGAGCCCCGATGGGGGCAAGAATTTTCTCTTCTCCACATCATTCAGACCGACTCTGGGATCCACCCAGCCTCCTATACAATGGGTACTGGGTGCTCTTTGCCCGGGAGTAAAGCGGCCGGGGGGTGCAGCTGACTACTCACCTCCAGCTAGTGCCGAGGTCAAGAAAATTTGGATCCGTACATCCACTCCTCCATACGCCTTCATGGTGTACTGCCTAATTAGTTAAGTACAGGGACAACTTTATGAGAAGGAAGCCACATAAATAACAACAGTGAAGAACTGGCGCTACGAGATTTTACTGCTACTGCACGGGTTGAAATTTATAGGCTTGAATGTAAACTGTGTCTTAGATTTGTGCAAAATTATTGAAACCTTTTGTAGTCGCTACAAACACATCGCCTGATTTTGGTTTTATTTTAAGTATGGTAAGGGTGACAGTTCTGTTAATGAACAGCACAAACATAAATACAGTTCTGTCTTCTGGGATATATAACACTGTGCAGCTCGTTATTTTCAACAGGTTACACACCGTTATGTCCCAGAAGTTTGAACTCTTCATAACCGCTTTGAGAACCTCAAATCCTATAGCACATTCTTTATTTCTCTGTTGATATAAACATGTATATTGCATATAACATATTAGATATGAGGTTGCTACACGTTTTCTGTTTCATATTTGCATGACATTTACAGCAATCTGCAATTCCGACTTACCAAATAGTGCCCATGTTCTTACGAAAACGTAAAACCGACGTTCGCTTACTGTAGAAGAGGCAACTTCTCCGGCTTATCTGTCTGGCATGTGCTCTAATCGTCTCTTTGCAGGCGCACTGCGTTTCCGAAATGTGCGAACATGTAACATGCCTTTTGAACTTACATATTTCTTTGCATTGTGTTTGTGAACAGGAATACATTTAAAGTTTAAAAATATGTTAAGTGAGTGTTACTTTGTCGTTTTCTAGGAGTGACTTTTTATTCAACAACCTGTGCGTATGTCATATTGCTGCTCGCACTAAACTTACTTTGATATTACCCAGTAATGTGTTTTGTTACCAAAATTTTACCAAAATATTACTAAAAACTATGTAAAAGAATGAAAATTTTCTAGCACTTAAAGGCTGATTGGTAATCCAATTATTCTCATTAACTCTCATATTAAAATTAAAGGTATAACATTTTTCCTTTGCCCAGCTTCCACACTTTGTTAATCTGCAGGCCAGACGGACTGGGTTATCAGCCTTACGCTTTGGTAACTTTACCTCTGTGACTGAGTTCCTGTTATTTATTGCAAGGTACAGGGGTAGATCTTGACGAAGAGAAAAATTCCTGGCCCCAACAGGAATCGAACCCCTGATCTGTAGCCCTTAATCAGTAAATTTACTGGTATACCTCGGCTCACTTCCTGTTGAAATGCGAACAGAATTTTGCGAAATAAGCTTGTCGATCGCGATTATAGCTTACTGAAATTGTATATCATATTGGGAATTGATTCAGTGAGGAGAAAAAATAAATCCATTATCGTGTACATGTTCACCGAGTTAGCGAGTGCGGATGGAAGTCCCTAACAGGGTCAACGGAACGACCCTGAGCAGATGGAAAGCTAATGGAATTACCCGGGTCTTGGAAGAGAATAATTCAACCTATGGCTGAGTCAGAAGGAAGTCAGGGATAGTGAATGTTGAAATCCTAGTCGTCCGTGTAACCGAGAGAAACAACAGATAAATGAAATGAGGTCACTTGATAGGTCTTCACCAAAGAAAATTGATAGAGTTAAGGCTGGAGGTTTGAGAAAAACAATCATGTTTACTGCATGTAAATTCGAACTACACAACTTTACAGTTGAGGAGAATACTGGACCGAAGAGGGATGAGGCGACAGGAGGTTGGAGAAAACTGCATAATGAGGAGCTTCATAACTTGTACTCTTCTCCAGATATAATTAGAATTATCAAGTCAAGGAGGATGAGGTGGGCAGATAATGTAGCACGAATAGGGGAGACGAGGAATGCGAATAGGATATTGGTGGAAAAGCCAGAAGGAAAGAGACCACAAGGAAGACCAAGGCGTAGGTGGGTGGACAATATTAGAATGGATCTTAGAGAGATAGGATGGGATGGTATTGATTGGATAGATCTGGCTCAGGATAGTGATTAGTGGATGGCTCTTGTAAATACGGTAATGAACCTTCGGGTTCCATAAAATGCTGGGAAATTCTTGAGTAGCTGCAGAATTGGCGGCTCCTCAAGAAGGGCTCAGTTCCATGAGTAAGTATCATTAGAGAAACTACAGCAAACGTATATACAAATTTTACTTAGAAACTTCTGCAAATATCAATTTATATATCCAAATTTCAAGACAGAAGAATATAAAACATACTTTTTTAATATTTTTAAGTAAGAGGGGACCTTAAATTTATTAATCCCAATATTAAAATTGTGTTAGTCGTACAATTATGTGTTTCATGTTTTCAGCTTTACGGACGGAACTCCCAAAATATCTTATACCTTATAATAGTTAGTTTCTAATTTCAGCTTTCGTGTCAAATGATCCAAAATTGAAATAATATTCACATGTATAATAATATATTGCAGTTTCCAGCTTTCTCGAAAAAAATCTCAACTTTAAAATGTTATTCATAGAGATATTGGGTTTCCGTCCTCAGGTGAGGGAGGCTAAGTCCATGAGAGCTAATAAGAAAAATATACATTACAAATTGTTCCAAAGATGTACAAGCGTGGAACTAGGATAGATATGTCACGAAACCAGGTCCATGACCCCACGGCATAGAATAGAAACCAGAATTAGCAAAAAAACTAACTTCCGTTGCACACTAAAAAACTACAGGGTCACGAGTTGTGTGATACCTGTTCCGTTGGGTCTCTTTATGGTTACTACAAAAAAAACCCTAAATTTGGAAAGGTTGGCACTAACTTTCCCGACAAGCAGCGGTCGCTCAGTCACTATAATTCCGTAGCAGATTAAAAGAACTACAGAGTCGCAAGTTATGTGATCTGTTCTGTTGGGTCTCTTTGAAAGAGTTAGCTTCAATCAATAGACAACCGATGACGCAAAACACAAAGGTTATAAATACCTGAGACCAGGCTAAGTCCATGAGAGTTAATAAGAAAAATATACTTTACAAATTGTTCCAAACACATACAAATGTGGAACATAGATAGAGCCGCAGAAATATGTCACGAAACCAAACTAATAACCAGGTCCATGGCCCCATGGCATGGAAGAAAGGAGAACTAGTACAAAACTAATAGTGTTTAACTAGCGTCAACAATGGGGTAAATCACGCCTGTCTAATTTAGAACCTAATAGAAATCAATAAAAACATATATCACGTCATACAGATCTTCTATGTGAATTGGCGACTTCATTGCTGATAATGGGAATCCAAATGGGAGAAAAGTCCAAACTGGGTTGGTTAATTGGGTTGGCCAAGCATGCCATATGGGCATGATGTTATTAGTATAAAAATCTGTTTCCTTTTTCAGCGTTCCCGGCAGAGAATCCTATGATTGAAGGCGTCCTGTCAGCTTATGCTATAGGTGATTACGTCACTGCGAATTGCACATCAGGAAAATCCAATCCTCCAGCCGTCCTCGCCTGGCAAATCAACGGCGTGAAGGTAAGCATTATCGATTTGAGCGCAATTCTATCCGAGACATAATTGCCGCCGTACAAATATTCATAGTTTATTACAATTTGAATACATTCCATTTACGTACAACGTAAAAAATTTGACACGATAAATATTGAAAACAGTTTACATTCTGTAGTGCTTGTGTCGGTGCATTTGTAACTGTGTTCAGTGACAGTCCGTGTGCAAGAACCGGAAACTGGGAGGCTTGTCCGATTTAGAAATGTGTATGTGCATGTTTAGCTGGAGCATCTGTGGAAATAATGCCACATTGTGAGGCGTACAGAGAGCGACAGTTGCTAAGGTTATGTTGGCATCCACGTATCATGGGAAGACAACCTCACAGAAGAGGAACAGTGGCCGAAGATCAACATTGACAGCAAGAGATCGTCGTACATAGAGAAGGATTGTTTCGAAAAATCACAGAAGTGCTCTGTCACGGATGACAGCAGAATTGAACATTCAGCTTGAACACCCTGTTTCCACAAAAACCGCCCGACGTGAGCTTCACAAATCCAACATCCACGGTAGGGCTGCAACTGATAAACTTCTGATTACTGAAAGTAATGTTTAGCTGCACAAACGGTAGTGTCACGACCATAAAACCTGGACATCAGACAACAGGAAACGGAAGTGTGATATGGTCAGATGAGCCGTCCTTCACCCTGCTCCCTACATCGGGAAGAGTTCACGTTTGGTGAACACTAGTTTTTTTATTGCTAGTGGGGTGGGACTAAGTCCCTTGTACTGCGGCCACTTCTGGCCTATCGTACCAGCCCAGATGATAGGTGAGGGTGATTGTGGAGCAATTGGCGGAATGAAGATTGGCAGGGGAAACCGAAGTACTCGGAGAAAACCTTCCCCAGCGCCACTTTGTCCACCACAAATCCAACTTAACCAAACCCGAGCCGCCGCGGTGGGAAGCCAGCGACGAACCGCTTGAGCTATGGCGCGGGCTAAACCTGAACACACAAGGAAGCCTACAATCCGAAGCACCTGGTTCTAACTTCGAGACACAAGGGAGGTTCTGTGACGGTTTGGGCAGCAATATCGTGGTGCAGTTTCTGTTGGTCCCATTGTTGCCCTTCATGGCCCAATTACTGCAAGGGAGTGCGTGGCCAGGTTTGGTAATCAGGTGCACCCCAAGATCCAGACGTCATTTCCGAAAAACAATGCAGTTTTCCAAGACGACAGTTGTACATAAATATGATTTATGTTCTGTTCAGTCTACTCGGATACTGTACATTTACTGTTGACTTTGTTACAAGTTTGTGAAAGGCTGATGTGAGAAATGCGAGGTTTCGTTGGGAATCACATTTTGGGAATTATCTAACATGGCGTCGATGCTGAGAAGTGATTTATCGTTGACTGTTTCCCACAGCCCTTCCACGAGAAACTTTGGAGGCAAGTTTGTTATAGAACCAGCAGTTCCTATTCAATCATAAGACAATGTAACAAAGGGTGACCAAAACCTGATATCCTGATAGTAATATTATCCATACTATAATCGATAGGACTTCCTCTCGGGTGTAGTTTCAGTAGGGATATTCACTGTGATGACATTATAGAATCATTAGTTTAGAGCTAAGTTAGAGAAATTGTGGTTCAAGTACCACACGAAACCAGCGAAAATTTGTTTCTCTGAGTGGTAACAGTGCCGATCACAGTAGCCTCGGCGTATATGGCATGAACTGACTACGCTTACTCGAACGCTGGGATCGAGGGTTCGAATCCCACTCAAGGCATGGATACCTGTGTTTGTGTTGTCCTGTGTTTAGGTAGCGGCCTTGCTACGGGCTGATCCCCCCGCCCAAGGAGCCCTACCGCCTGTATAAAAATGATTACGGAACTGAAGAAGAGGTCAGGTCCCAACAAAGGGCTGTAGAGCTACTGTTGCAAGAATGAATGAGTGGCAACAATGCAGTGTTGTTTTAAGTCACATAAATGAAGCTTTATTCTCAACTATACTCCTTAGACCAGAGTCCATCTTGTAAATAGTGTACTCATTGCGTTGGTCAATATTCCCCCCTCTCTTGTTGGAACTTGCAAGTAGAGGAGCAGACTGTGTTCTCATGGGCTAGCGACTGGACCCTGATGTGGGTCAGTTAAATCATATTCACCATTTCAAGGATTATAATCCAAATACCTACGCAGTCTTCCAAGTGGTCTCTCACCTTCGGGTTTATCAACGCAAATTTATGACACACTTTATATGTCTGCATAGCTCCCTACATGATCCGTCCATAAGAATCTCCCAGACCCTGTTACCCGAACAGTACTTGTTGAGTATACGCTACTGAACTTCTCGTGATGACGTCTTCGCTCTCTTCCTCTTATTCCTCTCTTAGGTTCGAGTATTCTCCTCAGTAATTTTTCCCAATTGTTGTCGATATGGGTCAGCATCTGACGCGCCCATAAATGATGTAAGAAAGACGTTGCAATCGTAAAATGTAAGTGGGAATATATATTTTGGGGGGGGGGGGNTATTATTATTAATTCTGCTAGTATCAGGAGACCTCACTCGGTATAGCGATATACTACGGGCTGGACGACCCGGGTTCAATTCCCAATATTGCGGAGTTTTCTTTTCCGCAGCGTCCAGACTGACTCTCGGGCTCACCGAACCTCCTATACAGTGGGTGCCCGGGATACAGCGGCAAGGTCCTGAAGCTGACTGCTCACTTTATTCCAATGCAGAAACCAAGAAAGGTGGAGGTATACCTTCACTCCTCCATATGTCTTCATAATATGGTGCTTAAAGAATTAGGCGCAGGGATAAATTTACGTTTTTACTTTTCTATAAACTTTTCTTAAACGATATTTAATTTGAAGCTTTGTTAAAATAGAAATTTTACTATAGAACGAAGAATATTACGAACTGAATTATGTGTTTGCTTTAGAAAAAAGAAAGCTTTATCAAAACATGCAATCCCCAACTGATACCCTTCTCAAGCACACACTTGTACCAAACTGGATTATAACATTAAACCATCACTAGAGCGATAAATTCTGTGTATGATACCAACATATAGACATATCTTCACACAAAATCTGCACTGAATGAAGCTGTATGTAGCTTTCTGACTTTTGCTGCTATAATGGGAGTCCTGATAGAAAGAGATGTCGAGGCTATGTTGACTACCAGAGGCGTGTGGGCGGATTCCTCGTTTTTCCTGTATGTGCTGATTGGTTCAGACCTTTAGGTTTCCTTTGATATTTCAGCTAGACACTTGGGTGTGGGAGTACCGTGAGGGAGCTGATGAGACGGACTCACAAGGACTACATACCAAGACAGTGGGGCTGCACTTCCAGATCCAGAACGCGCACTTCACCAGCAACGGCGGAGGTGTCATTCCCAGGATGGAGATCCAGTGTACCTCCACCGTGGGTGACAGAACCCGTCACAAGGCGGTGTTCTCCAGCCTCGCAAGGGCCCTCACATCCAATAAACTGGCGCAGGAGAGGTTCAGGAACTCTGCAGGTAAGACTTGTGTTACAGAATTGAAACATACACGTATCAGAATTAATGAAATCTAAGTGCTGATGGGGATACGTAACCTGAAAGAGAGCTTGGAATAAGTAGGAAGTTATATTACGAGAGAAATCCATGATAAGTAGACTTCACTCTTTGTCAGCTACGATTAGCTTTGGTCAAATTAAAGATGATGAAGTGGGTATATGCGGCAGGGATGAGAAATTAATACAAAATGTTAGTTTAAACCCCTGAAAGAAGAAATCACTCGGAGATCTAGGCGTAAAGTAGAGAATATTAATGAAAATATAAGATTTGACGTTTTCACGGCGGTGACTATGAAGAATGCTGTATTCTGGGAAGTGGTGCCATGTAGATCCTGTGTGAAGCGACGTTTCGGAGGAACGTGTAACCTCCATCGTCAGGGTAGAAAAATCCGCAAGCGAGGAACCAACTTGAGCAGGTGGCTGCAGACTGAGTGAACAGTCGAAAAACACCCAGCTATATACGAATAGGAAGGGAGGGAGAGTGGGCTACATAAGAAATCATTAGGGGGGAGGGGCGGAGGGTCTGTGGAGATGGGCCAGCAGGTAGCAGACAAAAGTCAGATTACGATTGTGTCGGGCTACCACGCGGGCATTGACCCCATAGCCTCGGGGCTAATCTGCCGGCCGTGCATTGACCTGCACACAGGATCTACACGGCGCCGTATCTCAGAAAACGGCATTCTTAATAATGAGAACGTTCAACAAGAAACAAAGCATGACAGCATAGACTGGATTGAAATGGTTTAACACGAGGTTCAATTAAGGTATTTTCTGAACACGAAAATAACTGAATATTCCATAAAAATGGGAAATTCGCTGATCTGGTGACGAACTGTCGTCTTTTCTTCTTCACAAAAATATAAAATAAGAGTATTGTCGAAGCACGAAGCATATTCACTCATTATTTTCATTTGGGTGACTATACAATGTAGCATCTTCCAAAGCAGTTTCCTTCCTGATAGTTCTACATCTTGCGGCGTATAGACCCGTTCCTAACGATGACTCTGTAAACAGCGACCGTTTCTTGGAAATGGCTCAGTAAACAACTTCCCGTTGCTAGGCAGCAGATTGTTTATAATGCAACATTTAGATGGAAGAATAGAAAGGCTGTGTTTTCTATGTGGTCCGTGCCGAGTTGTAACAAGCAGGCTTCAGAGTTACTTGATAGTTCTGTACGGGACTCTGTGAAGAGAGGACTTGAGTCGGAATCAGAAGAACAGTCACTGTTGGAGCCGTTAACAGGAAACGTCTAGTAACAGGCTGAAAACACTAGACTGTGTGCCGTAGTAAATTGTAATGTGTGGAAATAGCAAGTGTTATATTTCTTTGTAGTTACGCCCTGTAAGCGGTCAATAAATCTATTCACCATTCCAGACCCCATCCATAGCGACATATAATCCGTGACAATATTTTGTAGAAACAAAGGAAGAATACATATAATGAGTGAATTTGTGAGTTTCACGATCAACAAAAGAAGCTACGGTTTGATCAGCCATTACGGTATGTAGTTACAAGAAGAATGCGATCGTGTAACTTTACACTCTTGCCAACTGTAATGAACTGCTGACTTGATGAAATGAACTTAGCCTAACTTCATTTGCAGAGACAGCTTACCTTAATCCCGTTGTGGATTTCAGAATGCTATGACTATTTGTTTCTGCTTTAGTACAGACTTAAACTTCTGCACACATTAAAACTCGGATGACTTCTCATTTATTGTGTCTGCGTTTGAAACCTTAATCATGTTAGATGCTGGCAGTTCCCTGTTCTGTTGTAATTCAATTTGAGTAATGGATAATTTTAATCAAGTAGAAAGAGTGGTTCTCTCTATACGTTGTAAACAGTAATTTCTTTAACATTTAGAGTCAGTTTATTTGATAAAATTAAGCATTTGATAGGATTGATTCTTAGGCAGAAGACGTTATTTCAAGTACAGAGGATGTGTAACGTCGAACGAAATGAGATTACTGAATTGTTACATATAAAATTATTACTTCTGTTGGCGACTTATTCTCAGATTTATTTGTCCCAATCATTGCAGCATTTATACCTCAGAGATGGATGAAAACCAAACAACTAACTAACTAACTTCATGGAGATGAGCTCTTCTTGAAGAACCGCCAGTGACGCAGCTACTAAGAACTACCCAATGTTTTATCAAACAAGAGGGTTCATTGCCGTGTTCACAAGAGCCTTTCACTTGTCCCTATCCTGAGCCATGTCAATCCAGTCCATACCACCCCACCCTATTTTAATATTATCCACCCACCTACGTCTTGGTCTTCCTAGTGGTCTTTCCTTCTGGCTTTTCCACCAATACCCTATATACATTCTTCCTCGACCTATTCTTGCTGCATATCCTTCCCATCTCAACCACCATGACTTGATCATTCTAATTATACTTGGTGAAGATACAAGTTATGAAGATAAACGAAACGACATCGAATTCAATATAGTGGCTGACCTGCCTTAGATTAGAATGAGGAAACATATGAATATAAATTGGAGCGCACTGACTTGATCAGTACCGTTGAGAGGACGGAAGGAAAATAAGCTACAGTCAGCTTTATTCCAATAACTAATTAGTTCTTTCAGTTGTAAGACGTAAAGGCTGGTGTGAAATTTGAAGTATGATTGTTAACTGTAAAGAGACGCTGTACTGTGGGGTTCGGTGGAATTTTACCGGCGTTCTTCCAAGAAGTCAGAATATAGTGCTCCTTGTCTGGTGTGTATTCTGCAGGTATCTCATTAAATATTGGCCATAATATCCGAAAATATGAATGAGACTCTTTGGCATTTTTTCCACCTACTTTAGGTCATGTGTCAAAGTGTTACGGTTGACTTCGTCATCGCGTCTGGTTTCCCTTTAGTTCTCCCCTTCGCTTTTCGTTTCATGATGCAAAATATCTGCCATTTAGTGTCTGCATTGTAAGCCTCTTCATTCCAGCTAAAGGGAAATTTGTTGAAAATTCCTACGTTATTTCCCTTTATCACCGCGAATTTTTTCAAATCTTATACATATCTCTATGCGTTTTACTAACCCTTTTCATAATGCTGTTATCAGTTCTTGCGATTTTAAGATAATTTCTACTCTCTTTACAGATATTTATTCATTCTTGCATTCTGGTTTCAGGTTTATCGTTGATGTCATCACTGAACGTTATTTTTGTGCTGATTACGTCATTCCATATGGTGTATTCATCCTGACGTTAGAAGTAAAGAAGGTGAGAAATGAAATCTGTGACATTATCATCATTCCCAGTCACATCAAGATATTTACATAATCAGAAAATTCCTTTTCATGCCAAATCAAAAACAATAGATACACATTGGTGAACATGGATTGTGTTGTACTGGTTGAAGTGGACTGATACTCAACAACAGAGACTCAGTGCTAGAATTCTTGAATTTGTGAAGTATGTGTTCTAGGTGAAGAGCAAGAATGTGTTGTGTGATCTTAAATCAAGTACTCAAGATAATGAAGTGATATTCGATAATATGTATCTAAAATATGCCCATGATGTATTATTGTAAATATGTGTTTTTTATAGGAGGAAGGAGATTCGTGAATGAAAACATGTTTGTTGCGTGAAATTAACAACCTCTTGAATCAGCTCATAGTAATGTTGGATTGTCGCATAAGGTCAGTGATAATATATGTAATTGTTTTAGTTCGGCCTGCTATGTTAGTTGTAGGCTTAAAATTTATTTCATGTCTCAGAAAATCATAATGTGAAGAGCGTCGTCTTTGTAAAAGGGATTTGTTCTAAAATTTGAGCACAGTAGTTTTAGATATTAAGATGTAACACATAACTGTTTAGTATACATGTTGAAGTTCAAAACGTCTTTGAATTTATAAGAAATGTCGTGAAATGTTTCATTTTATTCTCTGTTATTGTTAATGTTTAATTTTAAAATTTGTGTGTGAAAAAAATATTGGGATATTAAGAAGAAAATTATTCACTTTGAAATCAGTGTTACAGGTGGCTTCATTGTTTCTGTTGAGTAAAATTCAGACACGTTATCCTACTTAAAATATTTCCGTAGCTTTTAAAGAGACGTACTTTTATAAATAACCCGCTGATCAATATCTTCTGTAATTTTGAACATCGTAATGTAATTCAGAGTACAAGCTGGCGAGCTGCAAGTGAAGGGTATGTCGCTGCGAAGTATTTAATTAATTTATATTTTAAAAATATTAATTTATCTTAATATTAGTCATGTAATGTCGCTAAGTCATGTATGTGAAGCAGCACATGTTACAGCACTTCCATAAACACTGCATGCAATCTGAAATGTATCAATGTCACAGTTATTTATTTCTATTTTAGTTCCCTACTTACATGTACTCCAAATGTATTCGGATTTTAACATTTTCTGCTGGCAGAGATCTGAATAATAATAATAATAATTCATGTATGAAATTTCTTGACAATAGCTGAAAGCCAATCACAGGCAATCACTGAATAAGGAAAAATATTTCAACACAGACAACAGTAGACGTGCACAAAGAGAATGGAAAATACACAAAGAACAAATGATGGAAACTGAGTAACATAAGTGGTATTGGTGTCAGCAAGAACCATAAATATCTTACAGGTGTTGTGGGTGTAAAGATGTCGTTTAAAAGAATGTACTTTCTAAAACACTCGGTATATCTGCAGACTGCATTTTCCTCAGAAATGCATCCGCTTGAAAGCTAACTTTTGCGTAACGGCTTACATCAGAATTTGAAAAGTCTCTGATGGGTCCAATGGGTACGTGCAAACCAGTACTATCAATAATGATTGAACAACGAAATCTTTTCTCAAATAAAATAATAAGAAATAGCCACCTGGATCCAAGCGTTGAAAGATTTAATCAGATTAATGTGTCATAATAATAACATAAATAAGTGTAGATATTTCCACTGTTCATATCTCTGAAAGAATTACTGTACATATGTCATTACGTAACCTTGCCTTGTTTGTGACTTTAAGCTCTAAGATTTAACTACCAATTCGGATCTTCACGCCACTCAGCCGACCTAATAACTTCATAGAAGGCGTTTTAATTTAGAGTCCTGAGCAATAATAATCATAAACATATCAACGTTAAGACACCTACATACACGTACTTCCATTTGACAACTAGCCCGAACCTTTGTCATTGGAACTGGAATATCTTTTCCGTTCAGTACGTCACTTCCGCCGGGCCAAACGGGGAGACACTGTCCCATTACGTCATAAAATTAAAATGGTTTTTAAGTTCATAAGAGTGAGCGCCTGTTCAAATTTGTGTTTAAAGAGTTTTCCTAGGCATCAAAGAGTCCAAGAGAATTATTTATAATTGTATCATTCACTTTGTAACTGCAAATTTGCTTATTAAATTTCGCCTGAGTTTTGCAAGTTTTGAAATATTTAGTTATCTCTAAGCACCTTCTCATATTTTCTGACCCCGCAAGACTAAAATGGGTGAGAAAAAAGTATATCTTCAAGAACCCCTCCACTTATCAATCCTCATATTGCATCAGAACATTGTTGTAAAGCAATGACCATTCAATTACACGTAATAATAGTCACAGTATTTACGCCAGTGATAGACATTCTTCAGAAATGGATGTTTGTGTGGAACAGTATGACGAAAGGACCAACACATTACACAGAGTATTTGAACTTTGTCTCTGCTTCTGTAGTTTTCTCGAAATACACGGCACAAAATTTTTCTACCAAAAGGGCCATATTCACTATATCATGCTTAAAGCCATGTCTACTAGCTGACAAGGGATTTTCTTTCCCGTGGGATGGTCTGTGGTCAAGGTTATATTCCTGTCCTTGTATTAGGTTCCTGACCAATAGAGTCTAAAATTTCGGCGTTATAAATGTGAGCCACAAGGGGTGAGGGACATTGATATTTTCAGAACTCAAAATATCCAGGTCGTGGAGAACTATTTTCTCTACTTCCAGGTAAGTTTGCTAATTGAGAAATTACCTCATAGTGCGGTCAGATCTTTCTGCACATGTCATGTGTCTGCTAGAGTCTTCCATTCTCGGTGGCTTCGGAGCGTTTTCAAACTTCCAGCAGAAACCATCCTTTTCTGGAGGACGGTTCGTGTTTGTCAGAATATTTACATTTATTTGTTGTGCTATAATGCGACTTTCAGCTCACATCTCACCTCAGAACCGTCGTTAAATAATCTGTGAGCACTAAAGTACCACTGCCACTTGTGAAACCCCCATTTACAGTTAAAATAATATTAATAAATTCCTGTTCGGCATGACAGTGTCTTAGCAGTTTATGATCTCACGATGTAAATCTACTGAGAAATTTAGATGATAAAATGTTATGCACTTGCATTCATTTCTGTTGCAGTTGCTTCAAGTGCTGTTATTATAAGCAGTGCTGTGTTTACGTCTAAACCTATAGACACAGCCATATTGTATATATTGTCACGTGTATGGAGTGTGACTGTAGGTGGGTTTTGGATTGATACCCCGCTTTGGTGGACTTACAGCGCGTGACTACACATCATATTTCACTCTTACACACACACATACACCATTGTCCACAGTCACGTCTTTACAAGTCGTTGTTTGGTAGCGGCTTCCAATGGCGAGCGTTCCTCTTCGCCTGGGCTCCCGAACTATCACTGTCCTCAGCTACCAGCTTCTCACAGCAGCAGCTTACAAGGACTAAGCCCCAGCAGTCCTCTTAACTCACTCACCAACCAGCTCTTCACTCCACTGACTGACTCACTCACTCACCAACCGACTCCACACCACTGACTGACTGACTGACTGACTAACTTCTCACTAACCGTCTGGCTTATAACATCACGATACGGACCGCGTAGAAAACAGCGTTCCTCTGTGCAGTGCGATTGTTGCATAGCGGTGCCATGACATATTTCATTGTTACGTATGTAGCCATAGGCACGGACGGCGCAGAAAATACCATTCCTCTGTTGTTTACGGGCCGCTGCCCACTAACGGCTAGCTGTTGTAACTCCAAAGTTCTTGCTTTGAGCGAATATGCCACAATGTATTCCATAGAAGAATACAGTATGTATACTTTTGTCCGAGAGATTTTGTACCTCTGTGATAACGGTATATATAAAACTGCTTACGGAAAGCGAAAGTGTAACTCAAAAGTTTTATTACTTGCAGAACCAATACTGCAGACTGCTAAACAGCTTCAACGTGCGCGCCTTCCGTGGTATGTAAGGTTTGGAAACTATAAGCCACGGGAACTCCGACAATAATTTAGAGTCACTCTGTATACCGCCTCTCAGATTGCGCAGGTGAGCCCTGCTAATTCACCGGAAACAGCACACGTACGCCTGTGTTCAGCGTGAAGAGAATCGAGTTGCTTTAGTTGATGTTGAATATGAACCGCTTCGTGACTTCCAAAAACTGACAAGGAGACTTATGTAACAGTATACTCCCTCGGTTCTTCTGCCATAACAGTAATGATGCTCCAGAAAGGCATGTTCATTTATTATCGTTGGCTGATCTCGAATGTAGACGCGTGTGTCATCCCGGGATATCCATCGCGCAGCGTTATGAAGCCATGAGAAGGCTGTGTTCCATTCTCGATATGAGTTCCCTTCAATGTCTCAAAAGTTTCTAGAACATCACGTCGAATAAATTAATGGCAGAGAGATTCATTAATATGAGCCTGGCTCTGACTGGGGGTGAGGGGTTAGCTTCACATTCTTGAAGGATCTGTGTTCGATTCTTGAACCCAGAGATTTCTATTCTGATTTGTTTGTTTTCCTTCATTCTTCCAAGACTGCCTGTGGTTTTCTGTGAGTATGGTGCAATTTCTGAAATCTTCATTTTATTGGCCTGAAGTTTTCATTGGTTGAGACATTATGGTACAAGTCGGAAGATCGCTGCTTCGATTCCTGATGAGGTCATTGGATTTTTCAATTCAACTACGGCTACTCTTTGGCCTATTGTACCAACCCCAGATGATAGAATATGAGAGTGGAGCAGTCGGTGGAATGAGAATTGGCAGGGGAAACCGAAGTACTCCGAGAAAACTTGCCACTGTATCCACCACAAATCCCACATGACCTGTCCCGGGCTCAAACTCGGGCCACCACGGTGGGAAGCCGGCGACTAACCGCTTGAGCTATGGCACGGGCCATATATTATATTACTGTTCCTATAATTAACCAAATGCCTGGACCTGTGTACTCCTTGAGAAGCTGCCAATCGCTCAGTCACCCATTATCCCAAAATTTTACGAATTCCGAGGGTTTATTTCTGTGTTTGCTTGAGCTCTCCATTGGTCCCTATGCTGAGCCAGATTAATCCAGTCCATACCACCCCATCCTATATCTCTAATATCCATTCTGACATTATTCGGCTGCCTATGTCAGATTTTACGCAATTGTATCTTTCCTTACTTCCTCACCAAAATTCTGTATGCATTCCTCATCTTCCCCTGCGTGCTACACGCCCGTCGACTCTAACCCTTTACTGTTATTATTGTCTTTACTGTTATTTTCATAATTTTAATGTCATCTTCCCTGTGAATATTAGTACTTTAATATCTGAACCAAGGAGAATCCGAAAGTGGTGTATATCTTCGAAGGACGTTCATAAATGCAGAAAGTGTCCCAGAGCCCCTGATCTCGGTTTTGCGATTTTTATCTTTGAGGAGACATAAGGGAAAAACTCTACAAGAATAATCCCCGCAGCACTGAAGCTCTGCAGAATGAAATAACACGCGTAATTAGTTCAATTACCGTGGACCAACTTAAAAAAGTGTCTATAATTTATTTATGCAATGCGAGGAATGTTTGCATGCAGAAGGGGGTCACTTCCAACACCTGTTATAAAGCACAGTAAGTTTGTTATCTTTTTACGTACAGTATTCCTATAAATGTGTGCATGTACAGGAACCAGCGGCACGACTGCGCTCTCGCTACCGGGGAAGGGCACAGTAGCCGCGGAGAAACGATCCATCCGCTCTACGCTAGCGAGGGGGCGCGCGTTTATCAGCGCTAATGACTCATTCCGCTATCGGCAGTTACAGCAGCAATCTGTGAGGAATGTTGTGTCCGACCCACGGTGCTCCCCCGGTTTCCTCGATGGTTGAACGCACTGTATAACTTAATTCATATATAAGACTATTCTTTTTTATAATCTTCATCCTCATATTCACAACATTCATATTTTTTGTCACGTCGCTTATAGCAGATTCGTATGCCATTTGCAGCTGGTAACCAATTGGCACAGTAATTCGATTAGCGGCATACTGTATGTTCGTGAAGAGGTCTGCATATATTTTTGTTCAGGAAATGTCATTTCATCGGCTTTATATCTCTGGAAAATTGAAATATTATTTTTGTGTTGTTACTCAGCGGGCGGTAATGTGTCTCTCTCTCAAACCACGTGACATCAGGCCCAACCAATACATACCGCAGCATCTGTAGATTTGAATTGCTGCAGGTAATTCCAGCGGTGATATTTTCACTGCCTAATAAAATAAAGGTTTTGTTTTTTATTTTCATTCACGGTTCGTTAAAACGTTGGATAACATTTTAAAATGGGGAGTTCTGCTGGATATAAAATTCACGATTCAGAAAATATTTCGGCAGAGGTAAGCCTTTTCCTTAGTGAATTACGTTATGCAGAATGTTACATAATTCCTTTTTTATTTCATTTGGATCCTTCAGAACTTTTTTTACTATTTATCTGACAGTTCTGCTATAATTCGTAACGACAGTCTGTCGAATATTTCACAATCCATCATATTCGAGTTCTATTTACTATTTCCTAGATGCGAAAACGATTTATTTAGAACAGGCTGCTCTTATGTATTATAAATTTCATATAAATTCTTTCAATATATATTAAAATTGTTGGACCACATACCCAAGAGCACAGTCCAATTTCTGTCTGATACCGCCTATCTGACGAGTATAACACAGCGGTCCTATCTGCTTGTTAAACTAGTTATTACACTAAACTTACACGTTTTTAAAATAGTGTAACTGTCAGTACCCAGAGAACATGAACATAAAATGCGAAAATTGATTTATGTTTACAGGTTCTTCTCTCTAAAAATGTAATGTTTGTTATTTGACCTTTTTGCCGTTTGTCCAACCATCTCAGCTCCTTTAAATACTCGGGAAGCCTGAATTCACATTTAACACTTCTCTTTACGCACCTTTCATGACATTTTATATTACATGAAAGTCTGTGTTAGCGTCTTGTGTTATTTGTTCCCTATCCCAATAACGGGTACGGCGAGATAGACACGCGCAGCTTTCATTAGAGGGAAATTCGTTCCGAATTCTAGGAAAAGATCACAGTATTGAATAAGATCCGGTTTGAAGAAAGTCGTCTTCTGGGTTTAGGCGCCGTGTATTCTTCGTTTTGGCCTACGTTCTTCC